TATTCCCAAAAATGCAAGAAGATGGAAGACTCCCAAACTCTTTTTATGAAACCAGTATCATCCTAATGCCAAAACCAGATAAAGACACAGCAAAGAAAGAAAACTTCAGGCCAATATCACTGATGAACATAGACACTAAAATCCTCAACAAAATATTGGCAAACCACATCCAGTAATACCTTAAAAAGATTATACACCATGATCCAATGCAATTCATCCCAGGGATGCAAGGATGGTACAATATTCACAAATCAATAAACATAATACATCACATAAACAAAAGCAAAGACAAAAATCACATGATCATATCAATAGATGCAGATAAAGAATTTAGTAAGGTACATCCATTTATGATAAAAACACTCAGCAAAGTGGGAATAGAAGGAACATTCCTCAACATAATAAAGGCCATATATGAGACACCAAAAGCCAACATCATATTCAGTAGGCAAGAGCTAAAACTTTCCCACTAAGATCAGGAGCAAGGCAAGGATGCCTACTTTCACCACTACTATTCAAAATAATAGTGGAAGTCCTCTCTACAGCAATCACATAACAAAAAGAAATAAAAGGCATCCCAATTGGAAAGGAGGAAACAAAACTATCATTGTTTGCAGATGACATGATAGTGTACATAGAAAATCCTATAGACTCCACCAAAAAGTTACTTGACCTAATAAGTAAATTTGGCAAAAGAGCAGGATACAAAACCAATATTCAGAAATCAAAGGCATTTTTGTACACCAACAATGAAATGTCAGAAACAGAAATCAGTAAAACCATTCCATTTGCTATAGCAACAAGAAAAATAAAGTACCTAGGAAGAAATCTAACCAAGGAGGTAAAAGACCTGCACTCTGAAAACTACACAACACTGAAGAAAGAAATTATGGAAGACACAAACAAATGAAAGGATGTACCACATTCATGGATTGGAAGAATTACCATCATCAAAATGTCCGTACCACCCAAAGCAATTTGTAGATTCAATGCAATCCCAGTTAATGTGCCAACATATTTAACAGATATACAACAAATACTTCAAAAATTTATGTGAAACCATAAATGACCCCAAATACCTGCAGAAATTTTAAGAAAGAAAAACAAAGTAGGCAGGATCACGGTACCTGACATCAAACTGTATTACAAGGCTACTGTAATCAAAACAGTCTGGTACTGACATAAGAACAAACACATGGATCAATAGAACAGAATAGAGTGCCCAGAAATAAACTCAAGTCTCTATGGTCAATTAATATTTGACAAAGAGGGCAGCAGCATAAAATGGAGTAAACATAGCCTCTTCAACAAATGTTGTTGGGAAAGCTGGACAGTTACATGCAAAACAATGAAACTCGATCACCAACTTACACCATACACAAAAAATAAATTCAAGGTGAATAAAGGACTTAAATATAAGTCGTCACACCATAGAAGTCTTAGAGAAAAACACTGGCAGGAAAATCTCAGTCATTCCACACAGCAACATCTTTACTGACACATTCCTTAAAGCAAGGGAATAAAGGAAAGAATAAACAAATGGGACTTCATCAAATTAAAAAGCTTCTGCATGGGCAAAGAAAACAGCATTAAAATGAAAATAGAACCAACTATATGGGAAAACACATTTGCCAATGATACCTCAGACAAGGGTTTGATGTACAAAATATATAAAGAACTCACAGGACTCCAATCCAGGAAGACAAAATAAACAATTAAAAAATGAGCAATAGTCTTGAACAGACACTTCTCCAAGGAAGACATACAGATGGCCCAGAGATATATGAAAAGGTGCTCAGCATCACTAGCCATCAGAGAGATGCAAATTAAAACCACAATGAGATACCACCTCATACTGGTCAGAATGGCCATCATAAAGAAATCAACAAACAAGTGTTAGAGAGGATGTGGAGAAAAGGGAACTCTAGTGCACTGTTGGTGGCAATGCAGACTGGTGCAGCCACTGTAGAAAATAGTATGGAATTTCCTCAGAAAACTACAAATGGAACTGCCTTTTGATCCAGCAATTCCACTGCTGGGATGATACCCTAAGGGCCCTGAAACACCAATCCAAAAGAACCTATGCACCCCAGTAGCTGTTCATAGCAGCACAGTTTACAATAGCCAAGTGCTGGAAGCAACCTAATGCCCATCAGTAAATGAGTGGATCAAATAACTATGGTCCATTTACACAGTGGAATACTCTGCAGCATAGAGAAAGAAGAAGCTCCTATCATTTGCTACAGCATGGATGGAACTGGAGAGCATTATCCTAAGTGAAGTAAATACCATATGATCTCACCTTTAACTAGAACATAATCAACAAAAGACAAAAGCAAGCAAAATATATCCAGTGACACTGAAATTAAAAACTATCTAAGAATAGCCAGAGGGGAGTGGGGACGGAATAGTAGGAAGAGTTTTCAGGAACTACTATAAAGGATACATGGACAAAACCAAGGATGGAAGCAAAGGAGTGAGGTGGGTTTGGCTGGGGTGGTGGTGAGGAATGAATGGTTGGGGGAAAATGCAGAGAAATTTAATTGAAGAACAATAAAATAATTATAAAAAAGAATAAATTCAAAATGGATCAAAGACTTACATGTTACACTGAAACCCTATAAATCCTAGAAGAAAACATAGGCAGCAAAATCTTGGACATTGCTTGTAGCAATATTTTATTGGATATATCTCCCCAGGCAAGAGAAATAAGAGAAAAAAAATAAACAAATGGGACTACCTCAAACTAAAAATGTTTTGCACCACAAAGGAAACATCAACAAAATTAAAAACCCACAGAATGGGAGAACATGTTCACTGATACAACTGTTAAGGGTTAATATCCAAAATTTATAATGAACTTATCAAACTCAACACCAAACAATCAACCCAGTTAAAAAACAGGCAAAAGACCTGAATAGACACTTCTCCAAGGAGGACATACAAATGGCGAATAAACATATAAAAAGGCGCTCAACATCACTAATTATCACAGAAATGCAAATTAAAACCAAAATGAAATATCATCTTACACCTGTCATAATGGCTATCATCAACAAATCAACAAACAAGAAGTGCTGGCAAGGATGTGGAGAAAGGGAAACCCTTTTGCACTGTTGGTAGTGGAGTCACTGTGGAAAGCAATGTGGAGATACATGAAAAAATGAAAAATGGATCTTCCTTTTGACCCAGTGATCTCACTTCTGGGAATATATCTGAAGGAACCCAAAACACTAATTCTAAATAGCATAAGCAACTCTATGTTCATTGCAGCATTATTTACAATTGCCAAAATATGGAAGCAGCCCAATGTCCATCAGTAGATGAGTGGATAAAACAAGTATGGGACATTTATGCAATGTAATTCTACTCAGCCATGAAAAAGAAAAAAATTTTACCCTTCACAACAGCATGATAGACCTTTAGACCATTATGCTAAGTGAAGTAAGCCAGTCAGAGAAAGTCAAATACCGTATGATTTCACTCATATATGGAATCTAATGAACAAACTTAACTAACAAGCAAAATGGGGACAGGCTCATAGATGGAGAGCAGGATGACTGCTAGTGAGGACAGGGTAGGTGAGGGGAGATAAGGGATTGAGAAAAAAAAAAGGACTCAAGGACATGAACAACAGCATGGTGATTGCTGGAGGGAGGGGACATAAGGGGGCCAAATGGTGATGGAAAAAACACAATAAAGATTAAATAAAAAATAAAAATATAATAATCACTTGTTCTAGAGGGGAGTATGACTGAGGTTGGAAGCAGGACATTCAACTAACTAGGAAGCTACTGAAGTAAGTATAGGAGTAACAGAGAGAAACAGGGCTTGAGTTAGGGCAGATGGTAACGTGATCCCAGGAAAACTGGAGCAGGCTTCTTTTCCCCTTTCACAGAAAGTCTCAGATCTCATTTTCTCTCTGCAGTGTCCCCACCCTATTACCTTCCTGACAGGCAACCACCCAGCCCAACCACCTGGTCCCATACTGGCAAGGTAAAATTTTCCAAATGGGTCAAACTGGGATCAAGATTTCCAGTGTGAGTATTGAAAAGGGTGCAGGGGTGGTGGGTAAAAAATAGGTATGATCCTATTCTGTGGGCACTCTGAGAAGCCAGAAAAAATGTGCAAAGACTTACAGAAGAGTAGGGAGATAACTGTGGCAAGTTTGGTGATGACAGTGACTCTAAGCTGACCCAAGAACAGTGGGACTTGATGGGTAGGGGACATTGGAGAGAGCTCTAGGCAATGATGGAGAAACTTCACACTGGCAGAAGGGAGAAAACAGCTATTTCCAGGACCATAAAGATGGTACTCATTCAGCAGGAGTGTACTAATGTTTAAAGGAAGCCATGGTTGACCTTGAATAGACAGATAGCCTGATGAAGGTTGTGTCAGAGACCATAACCTGGCAGGTGATGGAAAGAAAAAGTGTTCTAGAAAGTCAGAGGGGAGACAAGATTACAAAGAAGCAGACATGCCGATGCCCCCATAGGTTGTGAGAAACTTAAGGATATGGGATGAATTTCTAAGGAGAAATCTATATTTTTCAAAGCCTCTCTGGGAGGCCTCATAGAGAACAAAAAGGTGGAAGGATATGGGTGGCAGAGCCTCCTCAGCCCTGCTGGAGTGGCAATGAGTGAGGACTGTGGACTTCCCCAAGGAGCTGGTTGAAGAATAAAGGTGTGCAGTGAGCTGCCTGGAGCACCAGCCATGTTCTCCCTGACTTTACGACAGTCAGGCACCTTTTCTACACCTCTAACCCCCTGGATCTGTCAAAACTCCATGTTATTATTCATAAGGGGGAATCAATAAAAGGGTGTGGATGTATCAGTACAGGAATACACCATTGGCACTAAAACACAAGCCACATGGTCTGAAGCAGAATTGTATTCTTGCATGAGGGGGAAGAAGCATTACACAGCTGAGCATCCTGCCCAGTCTGAAAGTCAAATTCTGAATCTACTCTCACAGTATTTACTTTTCTCATTGAAACCTACCTTTGAGTTTGGAGATCTGTAAGAGGGCTGGAAAACCACCCAAAGCATTAAGTAGCAATAGCTTAAGTTTCTCACTAAATAACCAGACAGATTTCAGGTACTGAATAGAAACATCTTCCAGAAAATCATCTGTTGTAGGAAGACATCTTCGATGTCCCTACAACAAAAGTGAAGAGATATAGTGATTGCTGGACAGTTCAGGCATCCTCTAAATATAAGTACACAAAGGTAACATATGCCAAACTCAGAGGGAAGGCCCCACCTAGTCTGAGGGGGCAGACACCATGCAGCCATTGCCACAGCTCACTGTGTAGGAACAGAATTTGAATTTTTTCAAAGGTCTTAAAATATTGATAATGGATTCAAAACTGTATTTCAATTCTTCACCTCAGGAAGGGTGGAGGGAGAGAGAGAGAGAGAGAGGCAGTGGGAGGGGTATTAGAGAGAGATCAAGAGATTGGTGGCCTCCCACAAGTGCCCCAACTAGGGATCAAACCCAAAGCCTAGGTATGTGCCCTGACCAGAAATTGAAACCACAACATTTTGGTGGTAATGGGATAATACTCCAAGCAACTGAGTCACACAGCTAGGGCTAATTCAAAATTTTTAAAAACAGGTGGGTCAAACCAAAATATTTAATGGTTGAACCCAGGCCCTGGCTTTCAACATTTGTGTTAAAAAGTTAGAAGCATGAGACTGTTTTCTAAAAATAAGAAAAAATAAAAGGTAAAGGTTCATGACTAGCTTAAAAGAACAGATGTTCACCACAGAAACTGTAGTGAAATATAACTGACCCCAAACTATAACAATCTCTGTAGAGATAGAGTTTAAAAACAAAAAAACCCCAAACCCCTGGCAGTTATACATATTTTATTTTAAATAAATTATTCTAATTACTCATTCTAAAATGTCTTCTTTTGTTCAAATTGCCAGAGAAAGAATTTTGATTCAATTTGGGGTTCTCTGGACACTGAAACCAAAGTTTACCATGTATATTGGCTTTTTCCTTACATGAGGTAAGTCAGACTCTCACTGAATTCAGAAAGAAAAGCTGAGTTTTAGGGAAATATCAAAAGCTTGTGATCCTTCAACCTTGCTCTTTACTGCTTAGACTCCTAAAGCCATGGGCACTGTGGAGAGGAAGGGCTGTGGTTCTAACTCCAGCCTTTGGCACCAACTTCTGGAAAGGTACAAACCAGCAACTCAACCAATGTCTTCTTACCTTGTACATCTGCACATTATAGCATTTAAAGAGCTGGCACACCTCAGGCAATGACATAAGCATGACAGTATCTTGCTGCAGAGATTTCCAGAAGGAAGTAAGCAAGTCCTCCACCTGAGGTAGGGAATGGAAGCTATCTCCAAAAACTCATTTTGGATCTGGTGAGACTGATCCTCCGTATATATTTAATCAGCCCCAACTGATAATGGGATGAATTTCATTCTAATTAATGTAAAACTTAACCTATCAGCTTTTCCATTGGGGTGAAATAATGAGGAACATATTTTCATGAAGTTTTCTAGAAGGGAAAAAGTTTTAGCAACAAGGAGGCCTCTATTGATTATAATAGGATGAGGAAATGGCCAGAGGGGTACAGAGCAGAGTATAGAATGAACGTTCACTGATTGATTGACCCTCAATTACTTTTCAGGTCTGAAAGAGGGTAACAGTACTTAATCAAAGAGACTTCCTCCTTGACCTTGAGTTAGAATTCGCCTAAGGATTGTGTAACAAAAAGTGGCCTGGAGTCATTCTTCACAGGGACCTTCTTAAAGACTGTTGTGGATGACTTTTATTTAGGAACATGTGGACAAAAAGGGGTCACATATTAATCGGACAAGCTCGGGGAATGTTTTCAAGGGAGCCTTACAAACTCGGAGACCAGAAGTAACCACAAAGGATGGTCTGAAACTAAAATTCATTAGCTAAAAGTAGTTCGTGGTGGGTAGTCATGTCCTAGGCTGGTATTTTTCCCTAACAAAGGTCAATCTTTACCTTAACTGAGCCTTTCTGTTTTTTTTTAATTATTTTATTGTTGTTCAATTACAGTTGTCTATATTTTCTCCCCATCCCTCCCCTGCAACCCCCTCCAAACCCACCTCCCTTCCTTACTTCCACCCTCCCCCTTGGTTTTGTCCATGTGTCCTTCATAGTAGTTCCTGAAAACTCTTCTCCCCTCTGTCTTCTCCTCCCTCCCCTCTAGCTATTGTTAGATTGTTCTTATTTTCAATTATCCTGGTTATATTTTGTTTGCTTTTTTTCTTTTGTTGATTATGATCCATTTAAAGGTGAGATCATATAGTGTTTGTCCCTCACCGCCTGACTTATTTCACTTAGCATAATGCTCTCCAGTTCCAATGCTGTTGCAAAGTGTATAAGCTCCTTCTTTCTCTCTGCTGCATAGAATTCCATTGTGTAAATGGTTCATAGTTTTTTTTTAAAACTTATGATCCACTTATTTATTGATGGGCATTAGGTTGCTTCCAGCACTTGGCTTTATAAACTGTGCTGCTATGAATACTGGGGTGCATAGGTTCTTTTGGATTGGTGTTTCAGGGCTCTTAGGGTATCATCCCAGCAGTGGAATTGCTGGATCAAAAGGCAGTTCCATTTTTAGTTTTCTGAGGAAATTCCATACTGTTTTCCACAGTGGCTGCACCAGTCTGCATTCCCACCAACAGTGCACTAGGGTTCCCTTTTCTCCACATCCTCTCCAATACTTGTTTGTTGATTTGTTTATGTTGGCATTTCTGAACAGTGTGAGGTGGTATCTCATTGTGTCTGTTGTTTTTTTGCACCTATGATAACATACCTTTGTAATGTCAAGGTCACTTTTGTTTTTCCAATCCCCTTGGGCACAAGCTAAGACTACAAATCCCCTCATTGTTATTACTATCATGTTAATTGTTGACTGTTAACTATCCTGTACTCACCTGTATGAAAGAAATATGCATTTTAGAGAGTAAATATGCATTTAGGGAGTAAATATGCATTTAGAGAGTAAAGACAGACTGCATGTGACAATTACCTGAGAATAAAAATATCTCCACTTCTTTATTGAATACCTTTAGCAAGGGTTAATAGTACTATTGTCTTCCTAATTTAAAAAAGCTCTATTTTAATTCTCAAAAAAATATGCATTTTATTTTACTTGTTATCCAATCCCAGAGTTCCCCATCCCCCAACTGCTTTGCTTTGTCCCACCTCCCTAATCTATCACCAATTGAGTTCAGGTAATAATCCCTTTATGTCTCCTCCTTTGATTTTAATATATAAAATAAGGTGCTAAACTGCCATTCTCAGGAGCATTTCTCAATTCATTGAGATTTTGCTTCCTGGCAATTGTCAGTTTGGCTCAAATAAACTCACCAAAAATTCTCTATAGGTTCTAATGTTTGTTATATTGACAGACAAAATAGCAGCTTCCTTTTCTTTATTTTCCCCCATGTTGACTTTTCAGATTCTATGATTGAACCAGGTGGCCAAACTGAGTTGCCAGTTAATAAAGATTCTTGACTATTGGGGATTTCTGCAGGCTCCAGTATTCTAAGGCATGGCACCCCTGTCACAAGGACTTGCCAGGGACTTCAGGCAAGGCACCACCCCCCTTGAGCAGACTGTCAAGGAAGTTGGGGCCAACTCTTGGGTTACCTGATCTAAAACCTTGTTATTAGGTGTGTGAATTCCAGAGTAGCCATCTCCACAGAGGCTCATAGTTATTCAACAACAAAAAAATGCAGTAGTGAGACAAGTGGAATATATTAACCCTTTCCTTCTCAGGTTGGTAAGTTTGGAGCATGACATTTTGGGGTTGATGGGTTTGAATGAGACATTAGTCATGGGCTGATCTCTGCTGATTCCCTCACTCCCTGTGTCCAAGTGATCAAATCCTGTTGCATCTACTTCAGAAATATTTCTCTCTGATTTCATTGTCACTGCTCCTTATCTGAGAGCCTTCATTGTTTCTTACTCTGCCTATGACAAAACCTCCTGACCACTCTCTCTTCTCCAATATGGCAATCTATGTCACTGCTCCCACACTCTCTTCTTAGTAAGTCATGATTCTTCACAGGACATGCAAGGTCTTTTCTAGCACCAACCTACTTTCCTGCCTTCCTTTTGGCTTCCCTCCTTTAGATAGTGATCTTTTTGTCATTTGTCTGTAAACATCTTGCTGCCTTTGCACACACTTACTATTCTACCTGGAATCCCTTTCCCACTCCATTTTAGTCTCTTGAACCCCTGCTTTTCTACTAGAGTCCAGCTCTATGGCCCCCTCTTGGGAGTCCACCCTAGCCATCTCTGCTTCTGGACACCCACAACAGTCTAATCATACCGCTATTCTACAACTTACCATACTGTATCATATTTATTGGCGTATGTTGTCTTTTTATTACTAGACTATGAACTTATCAAGATTTATGGACACTACTTTACTAGTTCCAGAAATGGAACATGTCACAGGGTAAGAATTAAGTTAATATTAATGAGTGAATGAAGAAAAGGAGAAATATAATAGATATCCAATGTAGGTGGATATTTTAAACATTGCATTAATAGGACAGGGGCCATTTTGAAGGCATCTTGGTCTCTATCTCACATTATGCTTTACACTGAATATGTATTTACTAAATGTACTCATACTGAATGAATATTATTACCCAAAACTGAAATCTTTAGAACACTAAAGCATTGGAAAAGTTTTAATTTAAATGTGTACTTGTTTCCTTACACTTCCATTTTTTTACTGTAAAAGATAAAACTCAGAATAGTTAAAGGATTTATTCATTTTTTCCACAATCCAGTCATTGTATAGGGTGCAGCCAGGGGGTCCTCAAATAGGGATTTGTAATGGGGTCCAGAACTCAGGGTGTTCAGGAAATACTAAAAAAAATATATAGGATGTCCTCACCCCTCACAAGTCTGAACTGGGGGATGGTACACATGGAGCAGAGCCATTGAGAGTTGTTCTGCATAGCAAGTTTTGCAACTAACCTCAGGCATGCTCATTTAACATAACTATAACTTTTGACTGGTTTCATGGATATGTTAAATAGCTGTGTCCATGCTTTGAGCCAAGGAGATGGAAGTAACTTCAACCCATGATGTAACTGGGAGGCAACTCCCCCAGGTTACAGTGCCTGCATTAAGAGCTAAAAGATGATCGGATCCATGTCATGGGGCCACACCTGCCTGGACATACTGTGGCAGCCCAGAAAAGCTGGAAAAATATGGGAATGTTGGCAGCTGTAGCTGATTGTGGGAGGAGTCAGATGGGGCTGCAGAGGAAGATTGGCCCTGGAATTTAAAACCAGGTGTGGCAGCCATGCAAGGGGGACACCACGTGGCTTTGGTGAGAGCTGGGATCATGCGGCTTTGGGGTGCTTCTTTTGGCCTTGTGGCTTAGGAGGCAGGAGAGATGTTGCTGGGGAGAAAAGGGGTGAAAGGACTCTTGCTGGTGAGCCATGAGAAGGTGCCACATGGTTTTGGATTAACTGGAGATTGCAGCAGCAACACAGCTGATGGTGCTGGGAACCAGGGGGCTACCTGAGCCATGGATTTCTATTTCTTTTTCTGAAATATGATAACCCAAACTGGGTAAAAGGGGAAAGAAGGACTGTGTGCATTTGTGGGTATTCTAAGGGACAAGAGTAATGAAGTCATTACTCTTAAGTTTGCATAACTTTTGAATAAATAATTCCTTTCCTTTTTACCAATCTCTGGCTATTGAGAGATGTAATTTCCTGGTGGCAGGCAAGGTGAACCTAGTACAGGGGGACCCCACCAGAAGGGGGAGTTCCATTTGGTAATAGTATTCTCCCCCTCCACAGGTCTGTTCTGTAACATCATGATTATATCGACATCAAATCACCCTACTTCAAAGCCTTGCTTCTTTTTCAGTTAGTATGCATTAATAAAATAACTCTTTGGCATTATTGAAAATCCCAGGGTGAATAATATTACCAATACTTTCAATATCAGCTGTAATTAGAATCTAAAAAATAGCTGAATTATATTTAAAGCATAAAAGTAGATATATTAGCACCTGGGAAAATTGCCAAATGATTAAACTGAATAAAAATATCACCCTCAAGAATTCATTAACTATGAAATAGCTGAATTCTAAGCCCTTCAGTGCAGTGAATTACCTCTAGGCATCTCTTGAGGGGTATTTTCAAGTAAAATGTTTAATAATGAGTCATAAACATTTGTATTTTATAGATGAAATCCTACCCTTTCAAATTCTTGGTTCCTCATGTTCTGTAAAATGTCTTGGCAAGAGTTGCAGTATTCATCAGCAAGAAAAGACGTTTAATAAGGAGGTGAAAAATTATTTCAGTTTGCAGGCTATTTCAAGAATGAACTTGCTCTTCAAAGGCCATTCTGAAGTCTTTGTAGGCTGTTCACTTCTGATATGACAGTAGTTGAGTATCTGTGAAGTAATGTATACCTTATTGGCCTAAAACTGATGTACCTTCTATTTAAATATCATAACTCCAGGGCCTATGCCACCCTTTGTAAAGGTCATCGATCATTGACATCTTTCTCTTTAAATGCCAATTTTCCCCCTCCATAACCCCAGTCCCAGTTTCTAGAAAATCCACCTTCTGTTCCCCTCTCAGTTACAGAAGGCCCTTACTCTAGAAGTTGACAGAGTGGTCCCAGGTGGAGCCTTTCTATAGAACAAGAGAGGAAACCTGAATTTCCTGACCACCACCAAGCCCAGGAAAATGGTTGGTTTTCATCCGTCTGGGTCAAGGCATATATTACTCATCTGGTACAGCAATTGTAACAGGTGAGTAAAATGACGCTTACTGCCTGAGGTATCAAAGGCATAAAAAGATAGTCTCCCCAGGGTGCAAGCCTATCATTTTATGGGAGTACTTCTTTGCCAGTTCTTGCTCCCAGAATAAACATCTTCTGAATTCAAACGCAATCTTACTGACTCTGTTATCAATAAATGATTTTCACACTAGAAACAACTTACACAATGGATTATTTTTTTAATGTATTTTCTCACATATAAACCATGAAATAATTATATCACTACTATAGGTTAGTGTTCTATATTTTATCTACACCTCTGCATACTTTATTAATCCCCACAAATTTTCCCCTTATTTTATTTCAAATGATACTAACCTTCCTTTTTTTATTTTATTTTAATCATTGTTCAAGTACAGTTTTCTCCCTTTTACTTCCAATTCAGCCCCCCTCCCAACCCTCCCCACTTCCCTCCCATTACTACCCTCCCCCTAGATTTTGCCCATGTGTCCTTTAAATTTCTTCCCATGAACCCTTCCCATTGTCCTCTGAAATTCCCTCTTCTCTCCCCTCTGAACACTGTCAGCCTGTCCTCTATTTCAGTATCTTTGGTTATATTTTGCTTGTTTTTTTGTTTTGTTGTTTAGGTTCCTGTTAAAGGTGAGATCATATGGTATTTGTCTTTCACTGCCTGGCTTGTTTCGCTTAGCATAATGTTTTCCAGCTCCATTCAAGCTGTTGCAAAGAGTAGGAGCTCCTTCTTTCTTTCTGCTGCATAGAATTCCATTGTGTAAAGGTACCATAGTTTTTTGATCCATTCATTTACTGATGGGAATCTTGGTTGCTTCCAGCATCTAGTTATTGTAAATTGTGCTGCTATGAACATTGGGATGCATAGGTTCTTTTGGATTGGTGTTTTAGTATTCTTAGGATATAGTCCCAGCAGTGGAATTGCTGGGTCAAAAGGCAGATCCATTTTTAGTTTTCTGAGGAAGTTCCATACTGTTTTCCATAGTAGTTGTACCAGTCTGCAGTCCCACCAACAGTGCACTAGGGTCCCTTTTTCTCCACAACCTCTCCAACACTTGCTTGTTGCTTTGTTTATGATGGGCATTCTGACTGGTGTGAAGAGGTATCTCATTGTGGTTTTAATTTGCATCTCTCTGATAGCTAGCAATATTGAACATCGTTTCATATGTCTTTGGATTTTCTGTATGTCCTCCTTGGAGAAGTGTCTGTCCAACTCCTTTGCCCATTTTTTAATTGGATTCCTTGTCTTCTGAGAGTGGAGTCGTGTAAGTTCTTTATATATTTTGGAGATTAAACCCTTGTCTGAGGTATCATTGGCAAATGTTTTCCAATACAGTTGGTTCTCTTTTAATTTTGGTACTATTTTCTATAGCTGTGCAGAAGCTTTTAATTTTGATGAGGTCCCGTTTGTTTATTCTTTGCTTTAGGTCCCTTGCTCTAGGGGACATGTCAGTAAAAAAGTTTCTTCATGAAATATCTGAGATTTTCCTACCTATGTTCTCCTCTAGGACTTTAATGGTGTCATGTTTTATATTTAACTCTTTTATCCACCTTGAATTTATTTTTGTATATGGTGTAAGTTGGTGCTCAAGTTTCATTTTTTTGCACGTAGCTGTCCAGTTCTCCCAACACCATTTGTTGAAGAGGCTATTTTTACTCCATTTTATGTTGCTGCCTCCTTTGTCAAATATTAATTGACCATAGAGACTTGGGTTTACTTCTGGGCTCTCTGTTCTGTTCCATTTGTCCATGTGCCTGTTTTTATGCCAGTACCAGGGTGTTTTTATTACAGTGGCCTTGTAGTATAGTTTAGTGTCAGGTATTGTGATCCCTCCTACTTTACTCTTCTCCCTCAAAATTGCAGCAGCTATTCGGGGTCATTTATGATTCCATATAAACTTTTGAAGTGTTTGTTCTATGTCTGTGAAATATGCCACTGGTACTTTAATAGGAATTGCATTGAATGTGTAAATTGCTTTGGGTAGTATGGGCATTTTGATGATATTAATTCTTCCAATCCATGAAGACGGTATATGTTTCCATTTGTTTGTGTCTTGCTTGATTTCTTTCCTGAGTGTTATGTAGTTTTCTAAATACAGGTCTTTCACCTCTTTGGTTAGGTTTATTCCTAGATATTTTATTTTTCTTTTTTCTATTTCAAATGGGATTTTTTCCTTGATTTCTGTTTCTGCTGTTTCATTGTTGGTGTACAGAAATGCCTTTGATTTCTGGATATTGACTTTGTATCCTGCTGTTTTGCCAAATTCATTTATTAGGTCAAGCAATTTTTTTGTGGAGTCTATAGGATTTTCTATGTACACTATCATGTCATCTGCAAACAGTGACAGTTTTGTTTCCTCTTTTCCGATTTGGATGCCTTTTATTTCTTTTTCCTGTCTGATCGCTGTGGCTAAAATTTCCAGTACTATATTGAATAGAAGTGGTGAAAGTGGACAGCCTTGTCTTGTACCTCTCTTAGTGGAAAAGATTTTAATTTTTGCCCATTGAGAATGATGTTGGCTGTAGATCTCTCATATATAGCCTTTATTATGTTGAGGAATGCTCCCTCTATTCCCACTTTGCTGAGTGTTTTTATCATGAATGGGTGCTGTACCTTATCAATTGCTTTTTCTGCATCTATTGATATGATCATGTGGTTTTTGTCTTTGCTTTTGTTTAGGTGATGTATTACATTTACTGATTTGCGAATATTGTACCCTCCTTGCATCCCTGGAATGAATCCCATTTGGTTATGGTGTGTGATCTTTTTAATGTATTGTTGGATGCGGTTTGACAGTATTTTGTTGAGGATTTTAGCGTCAATGTTCATCAGTGATATTGGCCTGAAGTTTTCTTTCTTTGTTATGTCTTTATCTGGTTTTGGAATTAGGATAATGTTGGCCTCATAAAAAAAGTTTGGGAGTCTCCCATCTTTTTGGATTTTTTGGAATAGTCTGTGAAGGATAGGGGTTAGCTCTTCCTTAAATGCTTTGTAGAATTCTGTGAAACCATCTGGCCCAGGGCTTTTGTGTGTTGGGAGTTTTTTGATTACTGCTTCAATTTCTTTCGTTGTTATTGGTCTGTTCAGGCTTTCTGCTTCTTTTTCATTGAGGTTTGGAAGATTATATTTTTCTGGAAATTTGTCCATTTCACTAGATTTTCAAATTTCTTGGCATACAGTTCTTTGTAGTAATTTCTTACAATCCTTTGTATTTCTGTGGTATCTGCTGTAATATCTCCTCTTTCATTTCTGATTGTGTTTATTTAGGTCTTCTCTCTTTTTTTCTTGATGAGTCTGCTTAAAGGCTTGTTGATTTTGTTTCTTTTCGAAGAAGCAGCTCTTGGATTCATTGATCCTTAGAATTGTGCTTTTAGTCTCTATGTCATTTAATTGTGCTCTGATCTTGGTTATTTCCTCTCTTCTGCTTGCTCTGGGCTGCCTTTGTTGTTGTTCCTTGAGTTCTTGTAGACGTTTGGTTAGGTTGTTTGTTTGGAATGTTTCTAAACTTTTTAGGTGAGCCTGTATCTCTATGAACTTCCCTCTCAGGACTGCCTTGGCTGTGTCCCATAAATTTTGCGTTGCTGTGAGTTCGCTTTCATTTGTTTCCAGAAACCTTTTGATTTCTTCCCTAATGTCATTCTTGACCCATTCATTGTTTAATAGCATGCTATTTAATCTCCATGATTTTGAGTGTTTTGGATTTTTTTCCTTGGGGTTGGTTTCTAGCTTCATTCCCTTTTGGTCTGAGAAAATGCTTGGTATGATTTCAATTTTCTTGAAATTCTTGAGGCTCGTTTTGTGTCCTATCATGTTGTCAATCTTTGAAAATGTTCCGTGTACATTTGAAAAGAATGTATATTTAGCTTCATTTGGATAGAGGGTTCTGTATATATCAGTAAAGTCCTTTTCCTCAAGGGTATTGTTCAATGCCACAATATCTTTGTTGATATTTTGTTTAGAAGATCTGTCCATTTTTGATAGTGGGGTGTTAAAATCCCCCCACTATAATTGTGTTGCTGTCCATATCTTTCTTGAAGTCCTCTAAGATTTTCTTTATGTATTTCGGTGCTCCTATGTTGGGTGCATATATATTTACAATATTTATGTCTTCTTGATGGATTCTTCCCTTGAGTATTATGAAGTGACCTTCTGGGTCTCTCCTTATGGACCTTTTTTGGAAATCCATTTTGTCTGATATGAGTATTGCTACCCTGGTTTTTTTTTCCTGTCCATTTGCTTGGAAGATTTGTTTTCAGCCCTTCACTTTCAGCCTGTGCAGGTCTTTTATCCTGAGGTGGGTCTCTTGTAGGCAGCATATATGTGGGTCATTTTTTTTATCGATTCAGCTATTCTATGTCTTTTGATTGGAGCATTTAATGCATTTACATTTAAGGTCATTATTGCTAGGTACTTATTCATTGTCTTTTATGTACGAGTGTTCCTCTCTCTCTCTCTCTCTCTCTCTCTCTTTTCCTTCCCTTACTTAAAGCAGTCCCTTTAAAATCTCTTGAAGAGCTGGTTGGTGGAGGTGTATTCTTTTAGACTTCTTTTGTCTGGGAAGTTTCTTATTTAGCCTTCTATCTTGATTGAGATCCTTGCTGGATAAAGTAGCCTTGGTTGCAGACCTCTGGTTCTCATTACCTGGAGTATTTCTTGCCATTCTCTTCTGGCTTGAAGTGTTTCCATTGAGAAGTGAGCTGTTAGCCTTATTGGGGCTCCCTTGTATGTTACTTCCTGTTTCTCCCTTGCTGCCTTTAAGATTCTCTCTTTGTCTTGAAATTTTGCCATTTTAATTATGATGTGTCTTGAGGTGGGCCTCTTTGGGTTCCTCTTGTTTGGGACTCTCTGTGTTTCCTGGATTTGTGTGACGTTTTCATCAAATCAGGGAAGTTTTCCTTCATTACTTTTTCAAGTACGTTTTTGATCTTTTGGTTTTTTTCTTCCCCTTCTCGTATCCCTATTATATGGATATTATTACATTTCATATTGTCTTGCATTTCTCTTAACCCCTCTTCATTCTTTCTGAGCCTCTTTTCCTTTTCTTGCTCTTTCTGGGTGTTGTTTTCTACTTTGTCCTCTAGCTCGCTAATCTGATCTTCTGCTTCATCGATCCTGCATTTCATTCCTTCTACTGTGTTGCTCAGTTCAGAAATGGCATTCATCATTTCCTCTTGGCCTTTGTTGAGGGTTTCTATTTTCTTTTTCATGTTTATATAGTTTGCAGTGAGATTTTTGTAGCTTCCCTCTAGTTTCTGATAGCTCATTGTAAGTTCATTGAAATTCCTGATAATCATTGTTTTGAACTCACTATCTGATAGTTGAGTTGCGTCTATTTTATTTAACATTTTTCCTGAGGCTTCCTCCTTTCCCTTCAATTGGGGATTGTTTGTTTGTTTTCTCATTTTTCCTGGGTTTCTTCTTGTTGTGTTCACAACTTCCCCCTACTTGTCTGGTTTTTCAATGATCGCAATAATTTTTGATGTCCTGTTTTCAAAAATGTTTCGGTAACCTAGGCCACTTGCTCTGTTTCTCCACTGATCTGCATGTTTCCCTCCTCTTCACAGAAGCCAAGGAACACGCTGCCTAGAGTAAAGCCGCCATCTTTCTGAGTCCCAAAAATATCTTTCAATGCCTTTTAATATGCTCTCCTAGAAAACCCAGGATAAAGTTTGAGCAAAATCCTGGATGGCTTCAGTAGATTGCACGATGACCCATGTGAGATCTTGCACATGTGATGCAGATACCAGCTGGCAGTGTCCGTGGCATTATGGATGAGACCAGATACACTCACATGGACTACGGAGTCCTGTGGAGGGAAAGGGACAGCAAGGCTACTCTCTCAAGAGTAGAGTGTCTCGGATCCCTAACCTTCCTTTATAATTGTATTAATTATGGTAAGCAAGAAAGAGTTAGAACTTAATATATTAGCCAGATGTATCACTCTTGTGGTCATGTATTGCAAGTGCTATATTGAAAATATTATCTATAAATAATTTAATGCCACCAATATATTTTCACAACTCCTGTCCACCTAATTGTCCCTCCTTGAGTTGCTACATCTGTAAATGGCTAGTTGTAGCAGAAACCTTAGGCCCAAACTATCAAGGAAAATGAGAGGTACAGACTTTCCTTTACAAGAACAATTTATGGGAAGGTAAACCATTTCTATCAAGGAGGAAAGAAGGGAACCCTTAATGATCAAAGCCAGTATTTTTCGAGTGTGGCCCTAAAATCATCTTTATTAGAGTACATGGGGATGCTTGGGATTCATCTCCTTAGAGTTTTAGTAAATCAGATGAGGCCAGAAATCTAATTTTAACTAGCTTCCCAAATGAGCTATATATGCACTCAAATTGAGAACATCAGCTCTAGGCAGACTGTTCTTTGTCCCACTCTTCATGAATCTGTACATTGCCACATGGCAAATGCAACAGTTTCATCTGTTCAGAAGAAGTCGTCTGTAAATACACTATCATAGTAATTTTAAAAATCATTACAAGGAGAATATGAGTAAGCTTATATTAAAATAATAAAAAGTAAATACATGTGTCTCTGAAATTAATTCCCTCAGGCCTCTTCCTGGGGAAAAAAATGATCCTTCAGTAAACAAAAAATTTAAATCATGAACTGAAATATTTTCTTCAAAATATAAATAATCAGAAAGAAAAAAGTGTGGGAAAGAACTCCACTCAAGTTTGAATCTCTTCAGGAGAAGACACTCAGTAATGAATTAGAGGGATTCCTACACTAGAAAAGTCATTCATCAAAACAACAAAGAAAAAAGTAAGAAATTCTATTTAGCTTTTCCAGGTATATTAAATGCATTTGGGATTTTTAACAGATCCAGAAATGTCATAAGAATTATTGTCATTCATTTATTCCACAAACCTTCAGTGAGCACATATCATGTGGCAACTCCTGGAGATACAATGGGGGATCCTTCCTGTCATGCTCACCCCTTTTGGTACCATTTGCCTTCCCTGAGTTACTTTACCAGTTTTCCTCAATACTTTCTGTTTTTCCTGTATCCTCAAAGATAATACTCCCAGAATTACCACCCCAAGGCAAATGCATCCTCTCAGTTTCCTTCTAAAGATGCCTCAATGGTTATTACAATCTCCTGGGTGAAATCCAAATTCCTCAGCCTGGCATTGAAAAGTTGTCTATTATCTGGGCCTCACTCAGACAGAGTCTCTTGCACCACAACATTCTCACCTCTGACTCCTCACTGCCCACATACTTTTCAGCACAAATGCAAGCTAACATCCTCAAGATGAATGTCTTCTACAGAAGGATCCTTTTGACCCTTCCAGGACTAGCTCAAGGGAAGTGTGGCAGGCAGAATAATGGCTCCCAAAACTTCCACATCCTAATCCCTGGCAAAAGGGACTTTGCAGATGTGATTAAGGATAAGGACCTTGAGATGGGGAGATGATGCTGGATCATCCAGGTGACCCCCAATATAATAAAAAAAAGGTCCTTAAAAATCAAAGGACCTTTCCCAGGTGAAGAGAAGGCAGCACAGAGAAGGACTCAGCCAGCCTTTGCCATCTTTGAAAACTGAGAAGTGCCACAAAGAACAGAGCAGCCTCTAGAAACTAGAAAAGATAAGGAATAGATTCTCCCTCAAGTCCCCCAGAAGGAACACAGATCTGCCAACCCTTTGCTTTTAGCCTGGTGAGAAATCTTTTGGACTTGTGACATGTAGAACTGCAAGATAATGAGTTTGTGCTGCTTTAAACCATCATATCTGTGTTAATTTGTTATAGCAGCAATAGGAAATGGACATGGGCAATGTTTTCTGGGGAGGCCCACAAAATTTTGGAGTTCCCAAACTTCTGATAGCCTACACTGTGCATGGAAGAGAACAGTTGTTTCATGTCTACCTGAGTTCTCTAGCTATAAAATGATATTCTACTGAAGTAAAGGGACCATGGCTTTTTTTGTTGTTGTTTGTGTTTTTAGTTTTCTTTCATATCTCATTCAGCCTTCAAGAGTGCTGGTCACAAAACGGGGTTGTTGTTTTTTAATGTGACACTTTTTAAAAAAGATTTTATTTATTCATTTTTAGAGAGAGGGGAAGAGAGGGAGAGAAATATCAATGTGTGGTTGCCTCTCCAGCACCCCATACTGGGGAATTGGCCTGCAACCTAGGCATGTGCCCTGACTGGGAATTGAACTGGCAACCGTTTGGTTCATGGCCCGCACTCAATCCACTGAGCTACACCAGTCAGGGCACACAACAGGTTTTTAAAACATGTCTGTTCATTTGTTAACAAGACAGCAATCAAAGTGCTAGCATACTGTCTTGCCAACTAAAATAAAATTCAACTCATGATGTCATAGCTATTAACAGTTCTGGTGTCTTAATTCAAAGAGCTGTAACTGTATTATAAAGACACTTTCACACAGATTTATTGTTCAAAACCTATGCATCCTTTTAAATTATAGGAAGAAAAACACATTAAAGAGCTGAAGGGCAGCCACACAGTATGCTCCTTGAATCCAGGGACCTTATCTCTCCCAGTATAATGTGTGGCACACTGTAAACATTCAAAAATCAACAACGGTCAAATGGGGAGTGTTTAAGGCCACACAAATAACAACACAGGAAAATAGTTGCATCTAATTAAGTAGTTACTGAATATTTCAGGAACTGTTATAGTAAATCTATTTTATTCAGCACTCACTATTCAAACTTGTTGGATATGCTGTCATAATTAGTAGATTTTCAAAGGCAATGATATCTCCACTGTGACAGAACAGATAACAGAGTAATAATGTTAGTAAGACATCTATTTCTGAGCACAGAAAAAAAAAGCTTCTTTTGCAGTGAGTTTATTTGTATGGGATATAACTTTTATTTCAAAAATGTCTTTCAAGTTTCTATCCACAACTGGTGATTATTGCAGTTATAAAAAATCCATTTCTGTAATTAGGATAAATATATTTTACTTTTAAAAGTTATTCTTTATAGAAGGATATGATGTCATCATTAGTAAAACTTGCTCTTATGAAAAAAAAATCATCAAGAACATGAAGTCTTATACTTTCTGATCTGGGGTTTTAAAAATGATCAGTTAAGAAACAATGATATCCTCTGAGTTGAGGGATATAGCAGAGCAAATTTATAGAACAAGAAAACTGAGAATAACATGTAAGTTTCATCTTACTATGCCTCTTGGATGCATATATTACACTAGAGACATATATATATCATGAAGAATAAACTCAGTTTTGTCCATGTGGGGTGGTCCCTTTCATTGTGGGTATTTGTGAAATTGGGAGCCCAGGGGCCCTCACTTTGCATAAGGGAATGTGAGTTCTTCAAATGCCAGACATGGTAGCTTCTCCCTTCTGGTATCCTTGCTATATCTTTGGAACTGTGGCAGCTCTATCTACTCCAACACATGTCCTCACACCTGATTATTCAAACTATATGTAAACACACTCTGCTTCTGGAAACAATGTTTTCAAGGCAGAGATGGCCTGGGATGGGGTGGGAATCAGAGAAGAGGTGAAAGAAAATGGTTATCATCTCACACATGAAGGTCCTACATCCCCTTCCACCCTCTCCAAAGCTCCAGGAATATTTATGTCAATTCATTCCCAACCCAAGTCATTGAAAACTGGGCAGAACACTTGATATTCATCTGATCAATGTTTTTGTGTAACACTCTATTCAAAGCAGAGCAGGTAGATTCAGGGTCTGAAAACAAACCCATTAAAACATTTTTTTTTTATCACTTAAGTGTTATCACAATGAGAATTGAACTTTGAACTGCTTAATGGCAAGAATGTTTCAGGACAAAGGATATGTTCAAACTGGCACGCGCACACACACACGACCCTTGAACAACACTGGGGGTGGGGATGGAGTGGTTGAAGGTCATAGAGTTAGAAGTGCCCACTCCCGGCAAAGGTGAAAATCTGTGTATAATTTAAGCTAGTCTTTTGAGTATGAAAATTTCCAACCATTAGTTGACCCATGAACAACTAGGTTTGACTTGCACAGGTTAATTGAATTGAGCAGGTCAAATGAAAAACAATCTGTGTATAAATGTATCCACACAGTTGAAAACTACATTGCTCAAGAGTTAACTGTGCATCTCCACATAGGATGATGCAAGGAAAGCCAAAGGCAAAGAGTTTAAAATGTGTTAGTATTCTATTTTTCATGTGTCAATGATATCTTCTTCAATAAATGTGGACAATGGTAGGGTTTCTCCAGGTTAAATTTATAAACAGTCCATTACCACATAGATTCTGGGACACTATATCAACAAAAACAACAAACAATAAAGCAATAAAAACAAACCTAGAATGAAAGAAGACAGAAAAAAATGCCATAAGTAAGGGTTCACAGCATAAAGGGCTATTATAAAAACGAAATTTAAATAGAAAAATATGGTCACCAACCTTTAAGATATGTCTTAAAAAATCACTTGAGACTTTCTTCAACTAAATGAATATATTTAACTACACCTTCCATCTATCTATCCATCCATCCATCCACCTCTTACTTATTTATCAAACAGTCATTCTGTGACTACTCTATTTTGGACATTGTGTGAGGTCCTAGTGTCTGTAACTATAGCAGACAATGGAAGACAGATCTGTTCTCACAGACTTTCTGGTGGTCTAAGAGAAGAAAAGATATTACATTGAAATAATTTCAAAGACACTGAGTGAAGGTTTTGATAGCCGAAATGTAGGGTGTTGGGGAACATATGTTGGGGGGCATCTTATTCTCTTGTTAGTTCAACAGTTTACATCCCTGTGAACTAAAAGCTGGAAAAGCTCAAGGGGTTCACTTGTGATTACTTCATCTGCCTTGCTGGCACTTATCATAACACAGTACTTGAACAGTACTTATGAAACCCTTTCCATGAAGGTAATAATCTTCATGGGACATGCCTTTGGATGTTCAGAAATGCATGTAGAAGCTGGTTTTTACTTAAGGAAATGACAGAGGATGGAACTGCTTTTTCACCGGGCAATTCCACTGCTGGGACTATACCCTAAGAATTCCGAAACACCAATTCAAAAGAACCTATGCACCCCAATGTTCATAGCACCACAATTCATAATAGCCAAGTGCTAGAAGCAACCTAAGTGTCCAACAGTAAATGAATGGACCAAAAAAATGGTACATTTACACAATGGAATACTATGCAGCAGAAAGAAAGAAGGAGCTCCTACCCTTTGTGATGGCATGGATGGACCTGGAGGGCATTATACTAAGTGAAATAAGCCAGGCAGTGAAAGACAAATACCATATGATCTCACCTTTAACAGGAACCTAATCAACAAAACAAAGAAACAAGCAAAATATAACCAGAGACATTGAGATTAAGAACAAACTGACAGTAACCAGAAGGGAGGTAGGAGAGGATCATGGGCGGGGAGGGTTGTCAAGAACACTTATAAAAGACACATGGACAAAGCCAAAGGGGGATGGGATCAAGGGTGGGAGATGGGGATTGCTGAGGTGTGGAGGGGAGTTGTGAGGTGAAAATGGGAGACAACTGTACTTGACCAACAATAAAAAATTGTGAACCACACACACACACAAAAACAAATGACATGGGAAGTGCTCACCTAATGCTCACCCCTGTCCCCAGTTCTCATGATGGTAGCTTTGGAGGCCAATAGACTGAGTGGTGTTATCAATTATTCTGGATTTTTAAATGAAACTCCCAAGTTTCTGCCATGTCTTCAATGTAGAATAAGCTTAATTGAACAGCTATTGAAAGGAAGGTGATTTCACTATCCTCACCACTATAAGGAAGACTGAGAGGGAAATTCCTGCCATAGAGAGGCCTACATGTGGCCGACAAAGGGGCCCAATCTCAATATAGTCACTGGGGATCTATGTTATTTTTGTGGTTTCAGTAATTGTTGTTTCAATGCTATACAGGGATTCTATGCATTGAAAGAACAATAATGGGAAAAAGAAAACTTATCAGCCTCATGGAAAGAAGAGATGATCTATAAAAAAGTCCTCATAACCACCTGGCCAGGCAATGACAACTGACTTGGTCAAAGAGACAATGAGGTTGTCTTTCCCCACCTATGGGATGCCCTAACTGAGATGAATGGTTCATCACACAGGTTGAAATATAGTTTTGGTGATGGCCTATTTATTTATTTTAAAATTATCAAGTCTTAGCATATGCAAGCAAAGATCCATGAAAATATTCATGATTGCCTTGGCTGGTGAGGCACAGTGGATTGAGTACCAGCCTGTGGACTGAAGGGTCTCCACTTTGATTCCCAGTTGGGGCACATGCCTGGGTTGCTGACCATGTCCCCAGTTGGGGAGAGGCAACTGATCGATGTGTCTCTCACACATCAATGTTTGTCTTCCTCTCTTTCTCCTTCCCTTTCCACACTCAAAAAAATATAATAAAATATTTTAATTTTTTAATTCTTGTTCAAGTATAATCTTCTGCCTTTTCCCCCCACCCCAGCCCAACACCCCAGCCCTCCCAACTTCCCTCACGTTTCCACCCACCCTGTGTTATTATCTAGGTGTCCTTTATAATTGTTCTTGCAAACCCTTCACTCTTTCCCCCTGAAATTCCCTCTCCTCTCCCCTCTGAACACTGTCAGCCTGTTCTCAATTTCAGTGTCTTTGGTTATATCTTCCTGTTTGTTTAATTTGTTGATTCTGTTCCTGTTAAAGGTGAGATCACATAGTATTTGTCTTTCACTGCCTGGCTTATTTCGCTTAGCATAATGCTTTCCAGTTCCATCCATGCTGTCACAAAGGGTAGGAGCTACTCCTTTCCTTCTGCTGCAAAGAATTCCATTGTGTAAATGTACCATAGTTTTTTGATCCACTCATTTGCTGATGGGCACATAGGTTACTTCTGGCACTTGGCTACTGTAAATTGTGTTGCTATCACCATTGGGGTACGTAGGTTCTTTTGGATTGCTGTTTTAGGGTTCTTAGGATATAATAACAGCAGTGGAACAGCTGGGTCAAAAGGCTATTCCATTTTTAGTTTCCTGAGGAAGTTCCATACTGTTTTCCATAGTGGTTACACCAGTCTGCAATCCCAGCAACAGTGCACTAGGGTTCCTTTTTCTCCACAACCTCTCCAACACTTGTTGTTTGTTGCTTTGTTTATGATGGCCATTCTGACTGGTGTGAAGTGGTATCTCATTGTGGTTTTAATTTGCATCTGTCTGATGGCTAGCAATGCTGAGAATCTTTTCATGTGTCTCTGGACCTTCTGCATGTCCTCCTTGAAGAAATGTTTGTTCAAGTCCTTTGCCCATTTTTTAATTGGGTTGCTTATTTTCTTAGAGTGGAGTTCTGTGAGTTCTTTATATATTTTGGAAATCAAACCCTTGTCTGAGATCTCATAGGCCAATATGCTTTCCCATACAGCAGATTCTCCTTTCATTTTAATGCTATTTTCTTTAGCTGTGCAGAAGCTTTTTATTTTGATGAGATCCCATTTCTTTATTCTTTATGTCGCTTGCTTTAGGGGAAATATCAGTGAAAATATTGCTGTGTGGAATATCTGAGATTTTCCTGCCTATGTTGTCCTCTAGGACTTTTATGGTGTTATGACTTATATTTAAATCTTTTATCCACCTTGAGTTTATTTATGTGTATGGTGTAATTTGGTGCTCAAGTTTTACTTTTTTGCATGTAGCTGTCCAGATCTCCCAACACCATCTGTTGAAAGGGTTACTTTTACTCCATTTTATGCTGCTGCCCCCTTTGTAGAAACTAATTGACCA